GACTCATCGCCCTGATGATGGAGGCAGCAAGAGCATCCGAAACGTCTGTAAACTTCTACCAGACTACACGGCTCAAGAACCCAGAAGACAGTAATCTTCATCGCCCTGGCGACGGAGGCAGTATGACCTCCGAAACGTTGGTTAACATCGATCAGACTACACAGCGCAACAACCCAGAAGACAGACATCTTCAGACTCATCGCCCTGATGATGGAGGCAGCAAGAGCATCCGAAACGTCTGTAAACTTCTACCAGACTACACGGCTCAAGAACCCAGAAGACAGTAATCTTCATCGCCCTGGCGACGGAGGCAGTATGACCTCCGAAACGTTGGTTAACATCGATCAGACTACACAGCGCAACAACCCAGAAGACAGACATCTTCAGACTCATCGCCCTGATGATGGAGGCAGCAAGAGCATCCGAAACGTCTGTAAACTTCTACCAGACTACACGGCTCAAGAACCCAGAAGACAGTAATCTTCATCGCCCTGGCGACGGAGGCAGTATGACCTCCGAAACGTTGGTTAACATCGATCAGACTACACAGCGCAACAACCCAGAAGACAGACATCTTCAGACTCATCGCCCTGATGATGGAGGCAGCAAGAGCATCCGAAACGTCTGTAAACTTCTACCAGACTACACGGCTCAAGAACCCAGAAGACAGTAATCTTCATCGCCCTGGCGACGGAGGCAGTATGACCTCCGAAACGTTGGTTAACATCGATCAGACTACACAGCGCAACAACCCAGAAGACAGACATCTTCAGACTCATCGCCCTGATGATGGAGGCAGCAAGAGCATCCGAAACGTCTGTAAACTTCTACCAGACTACACGGCTCAAGAACCCAGAAGACAGTAATCTTCATCGCCCTGGCGACGGAGGCAGTATGACCTCCGAAACGTTGGTTAACATCGATCAGACTACACAGCGCAACAACCCAGAAGACAGACATCTTCAGACTCATCGCCCTGATGATGGAGGCAGCAAGAGCATCCGAAACGTCTGTAAACTTCTACCAGACTACACGGCTCAAGAACCCAGAAGACAGTAATCTTCATCGCCCTGGCGACGGAGGCAGTATGACCTCCGAAACGTTGGTTAACATCGATCAGACTACACAGCGCAACAACCCAGAAGACAGACATCTTCAGACTCATCGCCCTGATGATGGAGGCAGCAAGAGCATCCGAAACGTCTGTAAACTTCTACCAGACTACACGGCTCAAGAACCCAGAAGACAGTAATCTTCATCGCCCTGGCGACGGAGGCAGTATGACCTCCGAAACGTTGGTTAACATCGATCAGACTACACAGCGCAACAACCCAGAAGGCAGAAATCTTCATACTCAACGCCGTGATAAAATCAAATGATACTTTTATAGGGTAATATCACTGTTGACATTTTATCAGAACTGCATACAATATTTTAATCTGTAATCTATAGAATAGAAATCACTTTCGAGATAAAAGTAAAGGCTGGAGGATAATATTAAAATTAAGCTTCAAAAATGTGGGGTTTAGTGCTGTAGGATGTAGAGTAGATACAACTGACTCACAATAAGGTCCAGTGACGGGCTCTTGTAAACATGGTAATGAACCATTGAATTCAATAAAATGTAGGAAACCACCTGACCAATTATGCGACAACAAACTTCTCAACTAAGATTATACTACGCGGACTAAGGCATTGGAATTATTTTTAAGAAACTATGGACAAATGAAAATCAGATCTCTGCGTGCGAAAATGAATTACAGAACACGAACGATACCTGCGGGTATAATTAATTCAGACCACACTCGTGTTTCTGAAGTGAATTCAGACTTGTACGCCGACTTGATTGCCAGGATATTCCGACCTATTCGTTCATTGCCTCAATATGCGACGCGGAAGGGCCCAGACTAAGGTCCTGTGCCTTTTCAGAACGAATTAAGTCAAGAACACAGATTGAGGATACTTTATAGGATAATATTTTGACCCAAGAGGTAATACATCGCAGAAGAATCACCAAAACTGAAGAATGAATAGTATAATAATTTGTACTACTCACTAAATATTTGGATGATCAATTCGAGGAGGTTTAAGATAAGTGGGACATGTAGCGCACATGGAAAAAATGAGAAATTCTTACAAAATTGTGACTTGAAAGTCTGAAGAACTGAAAGAATAATATTAAAATGAATCTTAGAGAATAAATCTGAGGGTTTAAATTTGATTTATCCGACTCAGGGCAAGGAACGGTGGCTGGCACTTATGAACTTAACGTTTCCATAAAATACGTTGAGTTAGCTTGCCAAGAAGACCGCTGCTCCATAGTCAGTTAGGTAGTTACTTTCAGAAATTCTATACCCTGCACCAGTCCCCTACATTTATTTTTGTCAAGCAACCATTCTCACGCCAGCAGTTTCTAAATAAGTATAACCTACCCAGAGACATTCCTCAGTACACAAATATCAAAAAAACATGCGTCGAACAATATTGGCGGAAAAAGAAATGTCAAAAGGAAATGGAGCAAATTTCGTAGTTTAAAGCTCGAGCAATAAATACGGAAGTGACACAGGATGAACTGTTTTACAGGAACTCTGAAGTTAATTGATAATTATAGAATGTAACATTTCAAGAAGTGGAGTGCTATTGCACTCAGTTGTAAGAACTTTAGTAACGTAGCAAAATACAGCCACAAATTATCGTTTGAACTTTGTGTTTCACGTACAAAATTATTATTGCCAGGGTAATATTTTCTTCTATTTTCGAAGTTTTGATTCCAGTACGACCTGACTTTAGCTTTTTAAATAACTGATTACGTCCTATAAAATTATATATATTTTTTAAACCTTCCTCTAAAACAAACATCCATATTCTTATCACCACAGAAAACTCCAACACGGAAATTCTTCCGTGTTTAATATTGACTTTATATAATGTACCGTCTCCTTCAGAAAGCAAACACAATTGTACCTTTCGACCTGTTCACTGACGTGGTTTCAAACCGCATGTATCTATTATATACGTATAATCAACAGGTCTGTCATGTCTGTCTCTCCGTCCACGTGATTTACCTCGAGAACCGTTGGATGGATTTGGATGAAATTTGGTACAAAGTTTATGTCATTTTGAACGACCCTAAAATCGCACTTTAGAAATTTCCTGCAATATTCTGGCACCGATAATAGCGCCACTTGTAATTTTTTTTTTATTTAGTGTTCTGTCTGACGACATGTCCATATGAACAGGATCCTTCCATCATTTTCTCGGTCTGGGACCTGTTCATATACGTTCTTGGCAGATGATCCAGCAGTGGTTTGCCATTGCCTTCTTCTGTGTGTGCATGGAGTAATTGTTGGGATGCCACGTAGGAAAACTCCGTGTTGCCTAGACCACGGCCTTGCCCAACACAAGTTATAAATTCGGGCACCGCCGGGAATCGAACCCGAGACCCCAGGATTACAAGGGCAGCGTTCTAACCGCTAGACCACCGTCCTTTACCGATTAACAGCGTTAAATTATTATACCTATTAAAGAAATTTCACAAAATAGATTTATTAGAACGTTAATATATGTAATTCTGTGAGATTAAATAACTAACAAAATCACAAAGAACCTATCACCTGATCACACGGTACAGTACTGTACAAAATTACCTTCATCAGTTCATAGTTATTCAGTTGGTGAAGACAGATCAACATCAACAAGATATTTCTTTTTCGTTCACTGAAAATAGTCAATAACCTCCACAAAGCCCGAAAGTGGACCCTATTCTGAGCCAGCTCAATTCATATTACATCTTCCCAATTTCTTTTTTCAAGCACATAATTTAATAATATCCGCATATCTATGCTTAGGTCTTCCAATTGGTTTCTTCCACTGAGGTATTTTAATTATAATTTTATGCACAGTATTTTTTCTTTGTGCGTGCTACATGCCTGCCTATCGCACTGACGGAATCATTCTAAATAATGAGTGGGAAATAACCAATCACAACCTAATTTTTTTTTATTATTTGTAGTTTTCTGTCTGACGACAGGTCCATATGAACAGGATCCTTCCATCCTTTTCTCGGACTGGGACCTGTTCATATACGTTCTTGGCAGATGATCCAGAAGTGGTTTGCCATTGCCTTCTTCTGTGTGCGAATGGAGTAATTGTTGGGATGCCACGGAGAAACCGGGGAAGCCCCCGGAGGAAAATTCCGTGTTGCCTAGACCACGGCCTTGCCCAACACAAGTTATAAATTCGGGCACCGCCGGGAATCGAACCCGGGGCACAACCTAATATGATACAGAAATGCGTCTACTATTTTAGCGCAAAAACCGATATAAGACTTTGTATTCAGATCCGGAAAAAAAAACCTCACACATACAAACGTCCATCACATATAATTTTCTCCGATTTGTGTCAAACCGACAATGAGATATCACGTTCTCAAGACGGTGAGTAAAAAGCTGACCGTCTTGTGATATCTTGCGCCACGTAGTCTGTTAAAAGTTTACATGTGTTTCAGAGGTGATTGCTGACTCCATCATCAGGGCGATGAGTCACTTATCGCCCTGAGGATGGAGGCAGTAACCACCTAAACCTTCGGTAAACTTCTACCAGATTATACGGCGCAACGTTCCAGAAGAGAGTAATTTTCATACTTCCGTTACGTAATGTTCACCTTGCCTGTTTCACCGTAAAGAAACATACAAAGTTTATTTATAAAAGCGGCCGCTTGAGAAACAGAAATATTTCTTCCATAAAGGACACGTACCGGGCGCGAGAAATCTTTCTAAAGTTCAGTAAGGCTGTTAAAATGGATGCCTGCTTAGACAAAACACTAACAAAACCCCACAACTCGAGAGAACAATGAAAAGTGAGAAGTAATCTGTCATAGAATATAACAGGAATCCCAAATACATTATTTTCTACCTGTTATCGGTCTTGCCGTCAAAACTTCTCAACATGGTGAATAACACTTAAAATATTGTGAAACAAAATCAGGAGAAGCTACATACCGATATCTTGTAGGACTTGAGGCCTTCACGACGATGTAAATGTAGATGGTGGTATTTAGTCCTGATGAAGGAGGTAGTATGTCTCTCCGAAACACTTGCACGCAACCACCATCTGCAATAATACATTAATTGCATCACTCTGAATCATTAAATAAAATATTTTATTCATATGGAGGGACATGTATATAACATGACAAAGCTGATAAATGCATATACCTATAAAATTATATTAGGGAAATCAAAATAAATTTCCCTTCCTGTATGGAAACCCAAGCCAGCTGAATTCAATCAACACTCACATCTTATCATTATACGTTTAATTTTAACATTTTATTTCAACTACAAAGAGGTATACAAATTAATATCTTTCTTACAGTTTTTACTACGAAGTGTTAATATCTAAAGGCATTTTACATTCACCACATTTGAGTTACATGCCCCTTAATCTTATCACCATAATAATATTTCATAAACAGTATTAGTTCTGAAACTACTCATCACGTAATTATTTCCAAAATCTCCCTGTTCCATATCTTAGGTTAAAATATTCTCTTCAGGAGCTACTTTGATCTTCTATACCCTCAATACATGGTGTCAGAGATGAACCGAGGGTCACTCCAAAAGTAATGCCCTATATTTTTAAAAAAAAATCTATTTACACAGCGCACAGATACATTCGTTTCGCTTCTACGAGGCGCGTCCTCAAAGTAAGTTTCCCTGGGGCCGTTTACAGAAACAAAACACAATTTCATGGAAATATTTATTGCAACAGATACAGCAAGTGTCCAGCTATTTTTCAACATATTCGCCACCGGAATTGAGACATTTGTCATACCGTGGGACCAACTTTTAATACCTGTGTCGTAGAAGTCTGCCGCCTGGGATTGGAACCACTGTGTGACAACCATCTCCGCCTCTCTGTCATTCTCAAAACGCTGACGCTGACGCTGACCGGACAGGAATTTCTTGAGGTGTAGGAAAAGATGGAAATCACTGGGAGCGAGGTCCGGGCTGTAGGGTGGATGATTAAACACCTCCCAGCTGAACTCCTGCAGGAGACTTGCTGTCCGTCGAGTCGTGTGCGGCCTAGCGTTATCACTGACCGCACTTCACAGTCGGCTGGAGCTGGAATAAGAACCTCCATCTTCAACCGCTGCAACGATGCTACTGTGAGAACGCGGGAAGTGCCTTTAGTGCATGCGCCATGCTACGTCATTGCTCTATCACGTACGCACAGTCGCTTCGCGCAATATAAGGTTTGCTAGCTGTGGGACGAGTGGGAAACTTACTTTGAGGACGCGCCTCGTATTAAAACTTAGTTAATCATTCTCCCGCTAGTGGCACATGTGTATTATCATTCGTTAAACATGGCCGCCGTCCTTGACGTTCGTCATAAACAAAGTGCTGTTATCGAGTTTCTTGTGTGTGACAAACAGCTGATCGCATTACAGTTAGCCGCTTGGCAAAAGGTAACTGACGTCTCTGCCGAGAGGTCAGCGCACTCCTCATCGTATTCGAGTGGTCACAGGTCAGACCACGGTAACCGGCGATCCTGACCGAGGATTTCGTGATTTTTTCTAAATCAATCTCGACGAATTCCGGGATAGTATATAGAGCAGGACACCACCGTTTCTTTCCAAATCTCTTCCAATCGTTATACATTCTGAGCTACTCACAGCGTCGTTAAACAAAACACCTGAGCACGTTTTGTTAACGCAGAATTGTCTGTGTGCATCGCCTGTACAACTTAATATTCGAGGGAGTTGTCTGTATTCAAGTCGGAAACAAATTGCCATGGCGTTGTATCGGACTTCATTATAATGCTTAACGGTACATATGTTTCACCACAGCTGATGGCGGATACGACGAACTACCAGGGGATTTCCTCTGCGTATTGAATTTCTGTGGCGGAACACAGGGGTTCAACAAGAATATGAATAGTGGATTCATATTTGAGTCGCCCGATAACCCAAGACACTCAGAATTATTACATTTCAGTGGTTCCGTTTCCAGCACTTAAACTGTTACAAATTCTCTCTGGGGATATTTCGCACACACTTGCTTTAGCCTCCTGCCCGATGCCTTCCCACAGTGTCGAGTTACCTTCCACCGCCTTTCTACTCCCAGTGGCCTAGCCTTCTCGGCGACAGGACATCGATTATTGTCGAAACAATAGCGATATATCGCCTTCCGTATCCTTCCAGCAGAACTAGGGTGAGATCGTGGTGCATAATTACAAGGGGCAACATTGTCAACCCAAATATGATCAGCGTTTATGTGATGACTTCGAAGTTTTATGTGTAGATGAAAGAATAATATTAAAATGGGACATACACAGATTGTATTCTGAAGATAACTTGACTTAAACGTGACTAGGCCAGCGAAATGATTTGTTAATTTGTTACGAGTTACTACAAACTCATTTATTTTCTTTAAATCAAAAGATTTTAAAACATCTTATGTTTCTTATCTCATCTTCTGCTTTATCTACAAGTACCACACATGTTATTGATTTTAAAAACCGTACCGTAAAATGTAAGATTTCCAGGAAAATATTGTGTCAAGTAATATTTATGTCTGAGCATGTAATATGGCAAAATGTTATTTCTGAATAAGTATTATTAAAGAAATCAAAAATTGCCTATTAGTTTTTCAATATTAGTGCCAGGAACTGTTTCTTGG